ACGCTCTCTGCGAGAAGCAAGGTGATCTTATCTGAATCTGTCATTGGGGGAAGAAAATAAAATCCATGCGTGGAAGATTTATCGGTGTTTTATAATTCACATGTAGTTTGTTTATTGTAATTGGTAGTTTAAGTAATTAGAATGATTTGAGTATCGGAAAACATATTTTATTTCATGAAAATGAACACAATTAACCTGGTGTGAGTTTCTCGTAACGTCATAACCTAAATTAAATGGCCACTTCTATTAACGCCCAATTTCGCAGGAACCATTAGTAGCCGCTTAAGTAAGATTTCACATTATTTTAAAATGAAGAATTCAATAAATGACAGTAAATTTAAATTCCGCTCACATCATTATCAAAGCTCATTAATCATTCGATATTAGTATTTCTCTTTCATCAAGTTGACCCTAAAAAAGCTAGAGTTCTCCAAAACGCTCAGTCAGTAGAAAGGCCCTCTGCAAGAGTTGTGTGCACTCGACCTCAAAATAGACTTCCTCGAGCATCGCATGGCTCTGACAGAGATCGTTGGACCGCAAATGCTTACATATGATGAGAGCTGCTTTCTTTTACGTTGGAGAACGGCTCACAACCATCTCGTTGATCTCACACTTAGAAAAGCCGAATCAATCCACGGCAGATGCTCCGTTCACTTCACCGTTCTCTTTAAAGTTTTTTTTTATTCTCTCCCGTTCTGTAGCTCGTGTATGTACTCAGATATATTCCCATATAAATAAGCATTCATTTAAAGTATCAAGATCGAAATTTTTTGAAACACGGCTCTACGCTATGAGATACGCCTCCAACTTTCAACCTACTTGAGGTGGCACAATTTTACGAGTCGTTAAGTTTCGTAAGTGATGTTCTCTTAAATTTTGGACAATATTACATTTACTATAAATCTTCATTCATAAAGGGCGTTTGGTTGTATTTCAAAAAATGCACAAGTAATAAATAAGTCTTTAAAAAGGAAATAAATAAAGTATGTGAGTGATGGGTAAATTATTTAAAAACAGGTTCATGCCAATATGCTGTATCATGTATTTTTCGTGCTTCTTTAAAAGTTAATGAAGTTCACAAGATACAATAATATATTTGAAACGAAAATATAGTAATAAAAGGAAGAGTTCAACTGACATTTAAAAGAACTTAAACAAGCATGACTAGATAAATAAGAACAAGGTAGCTTCATACGAGCTCCCAAACCCCCGGTCAAATTTCGTCGTTTCAGTAAATTTGCCCAATTTGCTTTGTTTTAATTTTCAATTTTTTCAGAATTCCTTAATTTATATTTCCAATTTCTTTTCATATCGCATATACAATTCTGACTACTTTTAATGTTCTATTTAATTCTCGTCATATTCATATTTCAATTGCCTTTGAACATGACTTTTTCTGATTTCGTGCTGTCAAGTTCTGAATTCAGTCCGTATCACTGTAATGCAACCAAATGCTTTTACTTGTACAATTATTGTTCAACTAATTGAAACCCACATTAACTTGAACATCATAACTAAGGCTTTATTCGTTAATTCAATTCTTCAACCGAAGATAAGTCAACGTCAATGGGGTAACCGAGTAGGCGAATAAACATTCCATTCCCTGGAGCACAAGCGAGGTTTTTCGTCGCGCGCCTCGCGGGGACCGCTGTGCGGTTTATCTCGCTTCATTACGAGTGCAAACGTGTAATTGAATTAGTGGGCGCGGAGGGCGGGAGGGCTGGAGGGAGGCAGGGAGGCGCCGCGGCGCCGTGCAGACGAGTGGCCTCCTCAGCGCGGCGCCGTTGTCGCCTTCCAAATCATCGCGCAGATTTAATTAGCGCCGCATCTCCGCGCAAAGGGCCGGGGCGGCGCGCGAGGAGGGCATTCCAGGAGGAGGCGGCCACGCCCCCTTCTCGACGCGGTGTAATGATTGGCGTTTCCCAGCGCGTCCACTGTTACGAACACATAATATGACCCCCACTACACTTAACCAAACACTTACAAGAGTAAAACATTTTGGAGTTTTCCGTACACGTGGTAAATAACATTCGCACGGGAGATCTGCATAACACCTCTATAAACTACGTAATCATTTCTGTTATAGAAGTTCTTTATGTCCACAAACTGTCCGTGATCTAACTCTCAAACATGTAAAAATAATGATACAACATTTGATCGGGGGAATAAGGTAAATTAAAGGACACCAGTTGAGTTAACTGTTAAGCTACTGCCATGACTAGCCAGGTGGAATATCTATCCGAATAATATTTCTGTTTACTTGATAGCTGGGGGTGGGGTAGAGAGATGTAACATACTCGGGCGGTAGACACGTGGTCATTCTCACATCAGACCACAATAACAGCAGCAGTAGCAAGAAACACATCGCAATGAGAGCACACAATTAGACAACACAGAACCATACATACGACGAAAGACGACAACACATCTCGATGTGACTCTGTGGCTGCCGCACACTCAGTCTTCGGCGAAAATAATAAAAACAGTGTAAAAAGTGTATTTTGTACAATTTTAAAATTCTGCTTATTATTTCCCTTTTATTCACGTTTAGGGTTGCTGTATGTCGACGATGCCTATCTGAGCGCCGATAATCAAATTACACTTATCGTCATATGGGGGAGGCTTTGAAGTATATTTAATTTATTTTTTTGGGTGGTAATTTATTACAAACATTAATAATTTTACATAGTTAATGTGTCTAGATCGATAGCCTGTAAGTCATTCCAATTACTATACTTCTTTGTCCCATGATACACTCGAAGAATAATTTTAACTTGCGATTTATTTCAATAAAATGTAAAAAAGAACAAAGTTGTTATTTTTCAAATATTTTAATTGATATATTTATAAACGAGGGAATTTCTAATCTTGAAAAATAAACGCAGTAGAAACAGAACGATGATTTTTGTCCGTGGAGGAGTTGGTGTTCATTTCTCTGTCACGGCGTCCTCGGTGGCAGCAAGTTTTCCGCCTCATGACCTAGTGAGTTTCGCCATTGTTGTTATTTTATTAATAGTAACGCGCGGTTTTGCGCAGCTCACTAAGGACCGCCATTATGTGAGTGCGCTTCAAGTGTTTGCGTTCGCCTCGAGAGAAAGCCGGCGGCGCTCGAGGGAGGAAGGGCGTTTTCTGTGGATCTGCCGACGCCTAATTTGCTCTCCGGAGGCGACTTGAACTTGCTTCGAAGCCCTCGCGATGCCTGGCAGTGGTTCTCTCTGCTGCAGGTCGGTGGAGTGTTTAGATTTGCAAGAAATTAGTTAGTTGCTCTGCGCGCTGTGTGGTCGTGTAGAGAGGGCAGCCCAATGACTGTACGCCTGTTTCCCTTCAAACTTCTAATTTGAAACTGCTCTGCTGGTTGAACAATTCCATACCACTTACGCGTATGTTTTCTGTGGTGAATTATTTGGATATAATCCGGAGTAACACATAGATGTTGATGTTAACGTGAGGAGAACTAAACGTATGTAACCAAGTGAAGTTGTAAAGTTCGTGTTTTCCATATTATTTCATTTACTTAGAGCCCTTTACATTAGTGCATCTTGGTGAATCTTGTACACGCATGCTACTTATTAATATTTGCTTACAAGGAATTACTCTTTTACCCTTAATTTTTGAAACAGATGAAACATATTAGTTCGTAATTTCTTCAGTTAAAGAAGGAGTATATTATCATTATCACTAAATTATTTACTACATAATCAAAACAGGGTAAATATGGGTGGTGTAAAAGGCTTATATTTTTTGTACAATAAGTATTGAAGAAAATATTTTAATAATTTTGTACAAATAGACAGGAAGTAAGTTCCGGCAGGACAGTGTTATTAATAAAAATGGCATTGTGAAGTATAAGTTACTGTGAGTCCTACATGATAACCTGCAACATCTCAAAATTTCAAATCAGGGAAGAGAAATAAGCTTCAATTACATATTATTGTCGAGCTGTTTGACGACAGATCCGCAATAGACAGTACACAGGTATAGTGGATCTATTATGCAGTAGCCTGTAATTTCGCAATGTTCTCAGCAATGTATGGTCGTTTAGCGGTCCATTCATGTCGCATCACACGACGGCTATTCAGCGCGGGTTGAATGGGATGCACGGCCAGTGAGGGCAGAAGCATTTTGAGAATTATAATTACCTTTGGAAATGGGTGGTTGTTTACCAGTTTCGTGACAACAGGTATTCTGAGATTTTTTCACTACACAGCGAATATCACAGAGTCCTACGTATTTCCTGACAATCAATTTGTTGGGCAGTGTTCTCTCGTCGAGTTAGCTATTGTTCAAGCGTATTGAAATACAAGCTGATGCTTTATTTTTATCGAAGGCACGATGCCTGTTGAAGCTATTTCTGGTTTTGTTCCAGATGCCGAAGCACCTAATTCATACTGCAATTTGAGTGAATCAATGATCACAGTATTGCGAAATTTCAGCTTGCTTCTTTCGACAACGATGCGCGTCCATTTATTATGTGAACAATCTTTTACTCCTCTTTTTCATTGCTGTAGGAATATTATTGTGAAATTCATTCCGTTAATTATTACTGAATTGGTGACAAACTGTTTGAATGCTTGTAGTAAGTAGTCGTGGAACCAAAAATGTGGTTGTGAATCAAAAAACACATTTTACTTCCTTCATTAAATATTCTTTTGAATGCTGATTTCTCTCTTAGCAATTTAGGATACGACGAGATATTGCGATCTGAACTATAATTAAACGATATATGTAAACTGTATAGTGATATTTGCTAACATTTCCCATTGTCTTGTAAATTCTCACTCACAAAGTCATCCATGATGAACGTCAGTAAGTTTGGGCAGCTCCTTTTCCATCGCAACAGACCGGGGGGGGGGGGTCGTTGGGGTGCCCGCTGCCTCAACCTACACAGAGTTATTAATAGACGAGTGCTCAGATCGTGCTCTGATCTCTTTCTGCATTACCTTGCAGACGTAACGCTCCCAATGTTCCCAATGGTGCGTTTTCAGAGTGCGGTTTCCGATATGGCAGGTACGTTGGCCCTGCTCCAGTTGGCCGAGGGCCAGAACATAACCCCTTCGGGCCAGTCACGCCCACCGCATCTAGCCGTCCCCACAATACGAAATCAAACGCCTGCGACAACTCTGAACCCTTTGCATATCGGCATTTTTTGTCTCTTTCTCGGTGTCTCTCACTCTACTTAACCTCTTTACTTTCTCTCCCTCTATTTCTCTCTTTCTACCTCTCTTTGTCTGCCTCTCAGACTCTCTTTCACTGACTCTCTTTCTCTCTTTTCCTCTCTATTTTCCTCTCTATTTTCCTCTCTCTTTTCCTCTCTCTTTCTCTCTCTTTCTCTCTTTTTTCTCTCTCTTTCCCTCTCTCTCTTGCTCTCCCTCTCCCTCTTTCTCTCTCTCTTTCTCCCGCTCTCTTTCTCTCCCTCTTTCTCTCTCTCTTTCTCTCTCTCTTTCTCTTTCCCTCTCTCTCTTGCTCTCCCTCTTTCTCTCTCTCTCGTTCTCTCTCATTCTCTCTCTCTTTCTCTGTCTTTCTCTCCCTCTTTCTCTCTCTTTTTCTCTTTCTCTCTCTTGCTCTCCCTCTTTCTTTCTCTTTCTCTCCCTCTTTCTCTATTTTATCTCTCTGCCAATCTTTCTCTCCCTACTTTCTCTCTCTCCCTACTTTCTCTCTCTCCCTCTTCCCTCGTTTTCTCTGCATCTCTCTCATTTTTGTGTGTATGTGTGGTGTGGGGGGTCGTTGAACGACGCCTAACGCAGCGGTGTGCTGTTGTGCGCAGCGTCACAGCATCCACGGCATGAGGAGGAGAGTGTGGTGCGCCCGCACCAGGAGATGGCGCAGCTCACCTGGACGAGAAGAAGTTCCTGCTGGCGGTGGAGCGCGGCGATGTGGCGTCCACGCGCCGGTGAGTGCCTCTCACAACCCCCAAGACTCTTTGTGTTTACGTTGTTTTTTTTTTGTTGTTTGTTTGTTTTTTTTCAATTTGTTACGCCTTTGCAATACGTCTCGTAGATCGTCTTATGCATTGTGCGTATGTGAAGTAATCCTCTGTTAACGTATTTTGTCTTTTGTGTCTCGACATGTTAAAGTCAGTCGCTGCAGTCAATCGTAACGTCGCTTTTCATGAACTTTTGATGCTGTTCAGCGACCCTTTGTGTGTGGAAAAATGAGTTTTACTCACTACGATACATTTCTTCATTATTTTGTAACTAAACTACCAAAAGCAGGTAATTTTATTCTAATATTAACCGACGTAAAACATTAACAATGTTCTAAGTTAATATAAAGAGGCTTGTCAAAAGTACTGAGCTTGAGTAAGATTTTAATTCCATTTCTAATCTTTTATTGCATCGCCGTCAATTATTTAAAGACAAACTTATTACTTTCTCATCCTTACTCCCTAAGACGAGATAGTATTGTAACCGTGCGCCGGATTTTAGACAGAAAGACTCGTATTCTCTGACCTCTCTGGTAACCAAAAGTGGTATAATAACGTGGTGTAGTGAGAATCGATGTTTTGTGGGTCCTTGATATCGAAATCGTCTATTGACGGGGAAACGTCTTTGTCAGTCTGTGGTCAAAACTAGCGCCAAAACCGTTCAGTCTATTTTCTCCAAAATTGATATTCCCCGATTGATCTAAACGACGCCAAGGCTTTGCGAGTTTGAAATAGACATTTTGATTTTTGAGGGTACTTAATATGAAGACTCAACAACATTTTCAAAATTTCCTCAAAAATGATTCCACATTTTTTCACTTCACTTTGTCCTCGATTTGCGTTAAAGACGCTTAAGAGAATGGTCTCATTTTCTTTGAAATCCCTGATTTTTCAAAAATTGCAAAAGTTCAATGTTTTGGAGTTTTCATACAACTACAATATTGAAGAAATTTGTCCTTGCCTAAAATATCTTTTTGAAAATTTGCTCTACACTATTGTATATTAAAAAAAAGTATTCCAAAAACTTTCTTTTCAGACTTTTGAAATGCGAATGTTGTAACACCTTAAGGTATTACGGAAAACATCATGAATCTCTATTTCATTGCTATAACATGTGAAAATTAGAACAATCTTAAGATTCGTTCAGCAAGCTCATACGGACATGCTAGGCAAGTAAGAGTGAAATCTGTTGTTTAAAGACATCTTCAAAGAAGGTCATGGGGTATTTTTTCTTTAATTTTTTCCACGGATAAAACAAGTGATGCTTAAATGAAAGTCGGAGGTCTCATTTTCGTTAATCTCCCTGAATATTTTAAAACTGCGTGCTGGAAATATTGGGTCGATACAATTAAATTTTCAAGTGCCGGTCGTGTTGGTGCGTGAGAGCAGCTGACTCTAGAGTAGGAGTAAGGTGCACGATAGTTAACTCGAAGGATCTGAATTGGAGTCTCGATGCGGAAAATACTATTCAGTTTGAAAACGCTTTTTCGGGTTCGTATATTAGTATATATTGCGTAGAAGTAACAAATAATTCGAGAAAGTACGTGCAATTGTAGCGCTACTTGTTAAGTGTTGTTTGTGCTTCTCAGTAGTGCAGCAAGCACTTTACTAAAGCCTAAAATAATAAACGTGGAGAAAAACCCCTAACGAGATGAAATATAAAAGTTAATTTTTAAAGCGTAGTTCTCCTAAAAGTTCGAAGCGTAAATTTATTTATACATGCCACTCTTTGATCCTATTTATTTAAACGTTTTGGAAAATCCCTGCTACAACCTGAAGTTTCTTAGAACGTGTATAAAATGCAGCATCCATCATTCCGCCCGGGAATCGCCGGTCGCCGCCTCCTTTCCTCCCCTTCTCCCCTCCACTTCCTGAAACACTTGATGTCGCCCTCTGACGAAGCGTCCGAAATTGGCCGCGGCGCCGAGCGCTGTCAGAACGCAGGCGGCGCGGCGCGGCGTTCCAGGAAGCACGCTGAATGCGGCGGGCGGATTCGCCGCGCGTCGCCCGTGGCCACGAACGGAAGTAACGTCACGTGACGTGCTGCAGCTGTCACTCGTTGAACCTGCGACACATACAGGTTTCATCGGCTGCTGAGCAAGTTTTTTAAAGATTTTTTTTAAGAATGCGGGTAAATTTTATCCTCTACGAAAGACATTATGTTATAGTTAAACAATCATAATATCAAAGAGCAATTGGGTTTTCCCCCAGTTACTTACTATTTCTTACGAACCGAGTAGAAGCGGAAACGTAAAAAAGGAAGAACAAGTGTGCGAGTGGGCGAGTGAACGAGTGGGCGTGGAAACCTACAAATTTTCGAAGGTCCGAAGTGTCGTTGTGAAAAAAAAAAAATAACCACAATTTTATCTATTAATCTAACAGTATTATCTTTCAGTTCAGTGCAGAAAACCTAACTGTTGAGTAGAAATTTCCTTTAATTAAAATCTATGTATCAAATCAATTTCCGTGGGTCTTTGAGTAGGCCTTGTTAGCGTCTGCCTACTTTAATATAACTGTATATAGCCAGTGTTTCTGCATGGCTGAAAATAGATCGTTTGGCCCTAAGGCAGCAAATCTCGTTGATTGCTTCAAAAGATATGGAGGCAGAAGTAAATTCACCTTCTCCAAGTTAAACAATATATCCCTTCTATCTTTTCGCAGGCGGGAAATAATTGCAGCCTGAAAACATCTGGAAGTATCATTTAAAGGAATAAAGCAGTGAAACTTCTGAGTTCTCAAAATCTGAAAACACAAATTCTTATTTCAACTTAATGTATTAAAAGAGAAGGGAAGGAGTTATGAAGCTGAAGAAAACGTACGCATATTATACTTCTCTCCGTTTCGTTACATGTAGTTTAAACTGTTCAAAATATTTGGAATATTCCCAATAGCAATGATAGTGTTATAATATAGACGTCAGGAATCCTTTGTTTTTAAGATAATAAAAACACCATTTTTCATAAATGGAAATTTTATTCACTTGTCACTAATACGTATACGACATTTCGTGACTTTCTCTTTTGTATAATTAAAAACTATGATCTACGTATATTTTGTGGTACAAACTGTGTGCATTGCATGTGCTCAATAATGTGTGCATTCATCGTGGCATTGACCAAACACTCCAGACTTTCACATGCGCGGTTGCAATTGCATGCCTGTCTTCTACTTAGGCAATTATAAAAGTAAAAATTATATTTAACGATACAATAATATTTTGCACAATGTATAATTGGTTAAGCAGAATATATTTTACTAGGTAAATTGGTTCACTAAAACCCAATGTAGAAAAACCAAAAGTTTTTTGTAAGTATTTCTAATGCGGCGAACGGATGGAGTTAATTTTAATACAAATGGTTCTAAATATCTTTACTTCAAACATGCCGTGATGCCAGATGAAATTTTTATTAGTACCAAAACTTGACGTTGATATTACAATTGGCGGCTTTTCCATAGTGCATGAGGACGACGGACGATTATTACATTCTCATAACGATCTGATTGACAGAATCTGAAGGTAAGCGAGATCTTGTGCGTTTAACAGACACCATCGCTCGCTGCTCCTCAGTATCAAGAGAGTCCTCTTAACGTGTAGGATGGATCGTGACAAACGGAACGGATCCAGCGCCGCGCGACGGAACCTTCGACTAGTTCGCCCCGATGGACTCCTTCCGCCCACTTCTTCCCGCGCACGGAATTCGCCGCGCGCTGCGAAGAACGTCGCGTGGAGGCACGCGCCGCGCACGCGAAGGACGCGGAGCACGCGTGCGGGGGAGGCACGCGCGCGCGCGCACGTGCTGCCGTCACCCGATCTTCGCTCACCCCGTCCTCCCTTCGTTTCAGCAGCGCGCGCCTCCAAGCCCTCCCGACGCTGCGAGGCCGGGGCTCGCGGTTCGGCTCATTCAAGCCCAGTGGTCTTATTCTTAATTTGGTCAGGTCCAACACGTGAGTTACAACTCCACACTTGCCCACATTCCTTCACGTTGTCCTTAACCCTCCACACTTGCCCCAAACCCGACACACTTGCCACAAACCTTCTACACTTGCCCCAAATCCTCCACACTTGCCCCAAACTCTTAAAACGTGCCCCAAACCCCAACCTTCTACACTTCCCCGAACCATCGACACTAACCCAAAACCCTCCACACTAACCCCCAACCCTCCACACTAACCCCCAACATAGCCAATGTTCTTTAGTTAGATCTCTCAAAAATTGTTGAGTGAGGTCCGTTTTAGAATAAAATTTATTTCTAAAACTCTATTCAAAACACTACCATATTCCCTTAATCTGGATGCGAAATTTTCTTGGGCAGCAGTATTGCATTTTCTTTAAACCATCGAGAAGAAAGTAAGGGAAACAAATACTGCAATACGTACAACAAAAGCTTCGAATTATCACTGAGTTCCCGAAGATCCCTTCGAGAAGCTAATGATAAAATGACACTACTGTTAATAAGTGTGAATAAAGTAATACGTGGTTTTATGGACACACATGAAACATGAAAAAGAAATCAATGGCTTTACAACGTCAAATCTATCATAGCTTGTTCCATTTTCACTTTCTCGCATTCTGTGTACTGCAGTGATCCGTATACTACTAAAGTTATGTTGGATATCGTAGCAAAGCAATTTTTAAATTGTACGGCGCCAGGCTACGTGAATGGACGCAGCAGCCTAAACTTAAAAGACCTTCCAGATTGTTGATGAGTTCACCCAGGTGATGACAACACTTGGTCTATTATAGCGGGAAAACTCTTGATTAGTCAAGATACTTCCCTAAGTTCTTAATAAATAACTTCCCAACTCTGTTTGGAAGTGTTATTGCTGAGTGGGCTGCACAAATTTTATTCAGTTTAAATAAATGAACTTTCCGCATTCATACACGCACCCACATGGGATATGATTACGAATAATACAGTTCTTTCTGAATAATATTGATGTTTTACTTTGTAACATTAGTTTCTAAAATGCTTTTTTGACATTAACAACTCTTGTTTAAAAACAGTCATACAGCTTTATTGAAGTTGCATAAAATTCAGTTATTAAGTTCGCAGAAGACTTTTCCTTTTGTCGAATCGTCGACGTTTCTAGAATTCGGCCCAGGGTAACTGCAAGAGGCTCGTTGACCAGCAGTCGGTGACTGAGGAAAACAGTTGACGCCGGAGTGGCGCAGTCACCCTCGTCCGGGAAAAAGTTGCAATCCTTTTCTATCTCTCAGCTGAAAGCGCCTTCCGCGAACCGGGGATTTTATGTAAAAATGATCGCAGGTTCCAGAACAACACATAGTGCACCTCTACTGTATCAGTAGATACATCGCAAATCTTACAATCGATGGCGGTCAAACGAAAATTAAAGCACAATTATAAGCTATTTCTTAAGTAATACATTGAAAGATGATAGTCTAGATGTGATCATTTTTTGTATAAAATCCATAAAATAATTGTTAAGTTGAAGAACTGAAATTACTTTTTACACGCTCGCCCTTACTTTGTTAGAAGCGAAAGTATTGTAATTGTGCGCCGAAAAACGGCTGTCGACAGAAAACTCTTAGTTACTGTCCGTCCATCGGTCAGTCCACTTTTCTAGCCATTGGTCTGTCCGGCTACCCGCCGGTCTGGCCGCCGATTCAGACGATTTTCGTCAAAAATGACATTCCTCTATCGATTTAAAGAAACTCTTATGACTTGGAAACTGATATTTTAATAGTAATTCTTATTCATTGTAATTGAATCGATATGTTAGAATCAAGGTTGCTCTTAAGTAAGTGTTAACTGAGTTTTGAATGAAAATATTCTAGGATGTAAACTGTAGTCGACAAGACAAGCACATGAAACATTGTAACATAATAAATGTTAACATTTATTCAATAATATATTGATATGTTGCACTTAAATAAATTGTACTAACGGTTGTACAATTTTACTGATAAAACGTCTGCGCATAACTTCTTTGTAATACTCTTCGAAATACGAAAGTGTCCCTGGAGAGTTGTGAATAGTCTTAGACTGTAGGAGGGATTTAAAAAGTTTAGTCTTCTGAAGAAGACAATAGAGGGAAATTTTTTGAATGTGTATAGAATTGAATTTGTTCTCAATGATACTTAATTCTTAGAAAATACGTTCCCTGAATATTATGAATTTGTAGTGTTACAATATGAATGGCTAAAAATTTCGTTAGATGTGATGTTCGTTAGATTAGAGTTAGGAGTGTTCGATTATAAAAATAGTGGTATCTATACTTTCACGTCTCATAGAAAACTTAAATAATAGGTACCGCTATTTATGCGAAACGACTTCCTCATATCGTAATGTACGAATCAATTGTCACTACCATATATTGCTCGTTCTTGAAATCACAACTTAGAATATAGACAAATCTACACTATCTTCTTTTAAAAGGTCAGTAATCTCATTTTGCCGCAATTTGCCTCTCTCATCAGTCTAAAAGTCAAATATCAGTATTGACACCCTAACGGTTTATTAGACAGTCAACTTTGTGCTGGAATATTATCTACATTTTTCAAATAGAATAAATAATATATACGTCAACTTACACTATTTCTGTATCAATGCTCATTATGTAATTTAGATATTTTAATAATTTACACGTTCTTAATCTCCAAATCAGTTTAATTATGAGAATAGTTTAGGCATGTTTTTACAAGCGCAAATACTAGGGAGAAGAGGTTAGTAAATAATATACAATATTTTATTTCTTGTTATTTCTCAAGCAACTAACTCAATTTTAACCTACGAATTTTCAAGACATTTTTTACTAAGAAGTCTAGCTATTTATTGCAACAATTTGTTTTGAATAACTATATTACTCGAAGTTTTTAAAATAAGAACTGAGCAACCTTTCATACCACATCCCAGACTAGTAAAACGTTAAGTCGACAGTTACATCTAAAGGGCCCAAAAATAAAGTTAACATATGTGGATATGACGTGAGTGAAGTCGTCATGTTTCAAATTAGTAGAATAAAGTAGTTACGCTCACATCCTCATAGGAACGTTGCGTTTCTTCCTCTTGGCCAAGAAGTTACGAAGGAGGAATATGATTTTGGATCCTTATCACTTCTTTCAAGTCTAAGCGCGATGAGTCGGGCCACATTCGCTCAAATTTCCTGTTTTTGAGTATATGCAATGTGTTAAGAGAATGCGATTTACATGTTACTTACCACACCCATGAACTAAGCGAGTCATGTTGTGAGTGATTACGATTTGCTTAAATACGTACGCTTTATTTCTAAAACAGCACAAAGAACTGCACCTAATGGTATGAAATTACTAAGAGTACGCAATTTCATTTTCCAACAATTAGATAATTAGTTTGACACATTTGTCATTTGGTACTATGTGAAGTTGTAAACATCTAACAGCATCTGGCAGATATCGTACGTATAGAATACGGAGAAAGGGATATTTCGTTTTTGGCATGCTTAACGTAATTTTCTCATTCTGTTACGTAAGCTCTGAGACGAAAGTAAGGACTTTTGCTTCAAAATGGTATATTTATTTAGAAAAAATGAGTTTTAATGTAAACTTTCATTGCAACATTCATTCCAAGTTCTACTCGCGATGTCATCTATTAAGTTTCCTTTCTATCACCTTTTACTTGTATGCCAAAGAGTACGCACGTAAGATACCTCAAAGAGTGCGCGCTTACTATTTGGAACACTTTACATCGTTTTATATTTAAACTCATAATTTCAATTTTTAAGATATTTTAAAAGTTTTAATACAATGATGTGATTGCCGTCAATCCATTTTTCAATATCAAAGACTCAAAATGTGGATTATGTTTACACTACATGTTAGAGGACGTAACTTAGAACTACATATAGAATCAAGAATTATCCTCTTTTTCCTTACGGAGTCCATCAATACGAGTTTTTCTGTAAAAAAAATAGGCAATAGCCGCCACCACATTACAATACACTGTCTTGACTACGTAAGCAGTAAGGCAAGAAAGTAAAATTGAGAAGTCTAGCGGTGCTACAAAGCGGTGGTTTTCTTGTTCTAGTTAGTTCCTCTTTGTATTATTATCCGTTCACCCAAAGAAAAAAACTGATGTAAACTAGCTGAAGAAATATTTTCACCGCAGTACGTTTCTTATTGGACAACTCCTAGCGCACTACTTTCGATTACCCGAGCAGCATACCTGTCAATTTAAAATTAATAAGAGGTGTCATGCAAATGTGATGTTTATGCAACTTGCGATCAGTCAGCTTCAGGAAGTGGTTGTCAATAACCGAATGTCGTCAATTACTTGTATAACTTGGTTGCCCTAAAATCGGAAGTTATTGTTCACAATGCACAAGCTGCAACAATTTAGCAAGCGTTGGTGTTTCATTTCTGCACTTTTGATGCAAAGAATGCACGTTTGATCGTACAACACTGTACAAAGTCATCGTATGCTTCAATCAGTTTCTTCGTCTTTCTTTTCTTCTCTGGAGTTCGAAGTTGTCCCTTGCCAGTGAGATCTTTCCAGAGTTTCAATACGCTGGACACAGGATTCCAGTGAACTTTGTGATTTGCTTCTCCGGAAATAACGGATTCCTATGCAATAACGAATTGAAAACGTCCAGAATGATGCGCATTTTGCTTCTCTGAAGAAATTTTCCACACGTGTGTTTATTATTGAAGGACCAGCCACAATCTCAGTCATTCTCTAACAAACTGAAATGCACGGCTTTGCAGGCCGATCGGCGGTGCGGCGCCGCGATCCCACGAAACACGGCTCCCCCGCCCGACCCGTGTCGATCAGCACGTTCGTGGCTGAATTATAAGATGATCGTAACCTTGTCGCCGAGCAACACACATTCAATTCACAATGGTCTCCTTTCTCGAACCGTTGCAATAGTTTTAACGTAAGGTTAGTTTAACGAACGATGGCAGATAAATTAGTTCTTATATAGAGAATTATTTACTTTAGCGTCATGATCCCGACAACAGCAGAGATCACACTGCAAACCAATGAGAATCATCCAAGCTCATGTGCATTTGTTTATATCAGAATATTTCTTGGGGTGAACGGATAATATGTCGGGGTTTCCTTTTAGGTTTTGATCAATTCTCTTTCCGCCTAAGGGACCTATCTGAGCTTGCCCCAACGGTAACTACCACGAACGTGGAAACAAACTCATTAAAAACAGGATATCGAATAGATTGTTCAGGGAGAGGATATTGGGGAAGATTATGAAAACTTCTATAAGAATGAACATCAAAAAATCTTCACCTAGTTAATCGAATAGAGAATCTTCATGAAGTAGATCAATTAGACTATCCTGAGCGAATCTAAACGAGATTCTGGAGCAAGTCGATTTACAGAACAATTTGGTGAAGTCGGTCAAATGGAGGATCTCAAGGAAGTAAATATTAGTAAGAAGTGCGGAGACGAGATCAAATCAAGTATCTCAAGAGAGTAGAAAACGAAAAAACAACAAATATTGCGCCAAGAGAAGAGTTCTAGAATGTTGAAAAAATTGACCATTTCGATGTTCGATCAAGTCAAAGATTTCAAAAAAACTTCAAGTTTATAATCCCAAGAATGACAAGATAACGAGAAACATTTTAAGAAAATGGTAATACTCGTAAAGTTGTGTATACAGTGCAGGATATGCCAGTAAGTTGATCATCTGGGAAATCTGCGCTCATGTCGATCAAGTTGATCTGCGCGCATATCGATCATGTGTAGGATCTGCGCACAAGTCTATCATCTGTAGGATCGGCAGACAAGTTAATCAAGTATGAGATTGGTGTGAAGTGCAAGGAAGTGGGCGAATTGCACATTAGTGAAACAATTCCAAGTAACACACTCAAAAATATATCTCGTAAATTTTGCAAAATGACTTTTTTCGTTCTCATTATTTTGTTGCTTTTTACCTTTTTAGTTGTTTTTTGTATATTAGTTAATTTTCGCTTTTTTGTCTATTTATCTTCTGATACTATTTTTGCCAATTTGTCTTCTTTTTGCCCTGTACGACGTTATTTTGGTTTTTTCCTCTCTCTAAGAGATAGATATAAACCTGCAAACCTGGACAATACGAAAGACATGGCCGTATTTTGTCTTTCTGCGGAAGCAGAAGCTCTGCTAAAAGTGTAAATAATATAGGAAGATTATGCCAGTCAAGTTGTTTTATTTTTTAATGTGCTTCTCCTTCCTTTGTTCGCTCACGAGGAATTAGGAATATACATTTTCCTTTTAATGACATTTAATTTTCAAGATATTGCAGCAATATCGACGTATATGAAATTGTTTTGAAACCACAGTGTGTGTCCAACTAGCGCTCTCTCCTGTGTCTGTTGCCTTGCGTTGTATTGCACCATGCTCTTGTCTCTGTTACTAGGTTTACTGCATCTACGCTTTGTTCTTTCGATTTAACACGGAAACCATGGGTCTTTTGGTGGCGCAACCAGACGTGTTGGCGACGATGGAAATCCCAGGGGAATACCAATATTCTGTCTTCGTCAACTGCAACGTCTGTCCCCAACGTAATGTTATATTCGTTCGTAGGCTTCCGCGGTCGGAGTCAATACATTCTTCTATACGGCTATCCGAGATGAGCCGCGTCTTGGTCAATTGTGTTGACGTTTCGGCCATCTTGCTGTGGCCTAGGCATCTGGCTCAGATCAGCAGTGTAGCTCACTGCCTTTCCGGCACAATATTAGTTTTTAGGACATGATTAATAAAGTTGAAGATAGTTAATATTTAGTTTAATATTGATTGGCACTCCTCCTATTACTTTTGGAAAGAACCAGTTTCAAATGTGTGTCGATGATATATGTGAATATAGGCTATGATACTGTCTACTATCACTATATGGTGTTGCTGCTTCCCATAGGTGCAACATCAATTCAATTCATTCCATCAATTCATTTCATCAATTCAGTCTATTACAACAGCAATTCTTCCTGCTTGTCACTAAGCTGGTAGACATCGATAAGGAAACATGATAGCGATTAGAAATGGGCAACGGTGGGGAGTGTGGTTTCTCTGGAGGAAAGGAGGGACCGCTTTACACATCCACAAGTGGTTAGCATCCATGTATGGGTAGTCATCACCAAGACGTAGATCAGTGTTTCGTTGGATATCAGAGTTAAAAGACGGAACAGAGCAGGAACTGTGCTGGAAAACGCGAAATCACTGGACGTCTAGCAACTGCACGCTAACAAAACAAAGCCCAACGCGTCAATGACTTGATAATGACTAACATGCAATTAACGTTTGAGTGGAGAAGTCAACAGGTTTATCACGGGGTTCCTCTACACCATCATTCATAAGGATTTAAAGATTTAGAAGGTATGTGCACATTAAGTGCCACAATTGAGCAGAAACAAAGATGCGTGGAGTCGTGCCAACATGTAGTTAAACAGCACAATGCACATCCAGCCAGCCATCCATCCATCCAGAGTTATTTGGGCGCCTGATCACTGACGACACATCACGGGGCTTCCACAAGACTCCAGATCATCCACATTCTCCGACTGTGGCTCCTAGTGACTATGCCCCATTCAACACAACGAAACCGGGTATGCGTGGTAAAAAGTAAACACCAATGACGAACATAATGCAATTGTCCCAACAGTGGAGGCGAGGTACACTCAAAGAATGGTTTGCTATGCCAATAAGAAAGCTATCAGAATGACGACAAAAGTGTATAGATATTGAAGGGGAATACCTATAATATAATCTGTATTAGTTCCTTCAGTAAATGATTACTGTGAACCCAAAATATATAGTTGTGCATTTCAAGCAGTTTACTGAGTCAGCGACGCCACATTCAGCTATTACTTACATGGCTTTGCTAATTACTTGATTGTCATTAGGTTTATAAATGTCTACCAATATCAAAGTGAATATTATAAATACCAACGTCACCATTCGTTTTGGATTTCAGAGGCCTATACTTTTACGATTTATCCTCGCAGTTTCTCTCTACAAGTATTTTAAGTTATATGAAACAATACAACATATGTCATACGAACTAATCATTCTGTATTTTCCATCGTATGTGCACATTTCCTACCGCAATAGAGCTGTCAAATACACAGACATAGCCTTGGTAACTATATTCAGGCTCCGCTGCAAAACATACAACTGCAGAGTCTCTGCGGAAATGCCGGTTGTCCATCTGGACCCACCTGCTCCATATGCCTGCGACCGTCTGAGAAAATATACGGGGTGTTTGAATGGACACCGGGGAATTACGGATTGCGCATCTCCACGACTTAATGATAAAAAAGAAGTTATTAACCTGACTGCACAAAGGAAGGGGAGTTTCTTTTTTCACCGTAAAGTTTCTAGAATTCTTCTGCTTTCATTACGTTTGAACCTACCTTGAGATTTTGATGATCCAAGAATCAAACGACGTTTCTATCTCAGGAGACTGTACAATAGATTGTATATAGTATATAGTATATAGTATATAGTATATAGTATATAGTATATAGTATATAGTATATAGTATATAGTGCCGGAGCCGAATGCCGAAATGCGCCAACAAACGGGTCACGGACCCCGCGCGATCGTTCCTTTCCCTTCCTTGTCCTCTTCCCTCTTTCACTTACCCACATCTACACTTACACGCACTACACTACCACACATGTCGGGAGCTCAGAGCTAGACCCGGCTGGGGCGAAGCCCCGCGGGTGAAAGATACGTGGTTGGATAAAGCTCCGCAAGTCGGCGTATAAATCCGCGCCAGATCTCGATTTCAAACAGGGGGAAATCACCGCCTCCACCCGCAATTCAATAAAAATGTGCACTGCACTTACGGAACTAGTTATCTAGGCAGTTGTCGCGCCGGGAAACACCAATTAATTATACGTACCGCCTGCAAACCGAAATGAAAACACTCTCTATCCTAACGACATTAATGGCAATAGCATTTCGTGTGTCCGGAAACGTCAATCAGCGGAGCGTGGAACGAAAAGCGCTGGCCGGCCTGCGAGTGGGGACGGGGCGCGAGCGCGTCTTTGAGTCCGAATCGGGCGCGACGCGCAGCGTCACATGGGGCGCGCCGCTGCCTTCTCCTGCGCCGCCGACGCCGCCGCTGGGCGTCGCGACGCGACGCGGCAGTGCGAGTGCATCGGCGCTGGCGGCGCGGCGAGACCCGGGACGCGGTGAGTAGCCCGTGGCCCGGCCGCACCGCGCCGCGCCGCGCCCTACGCAAACCGCCGCTAGATAATGTACAGTAAACCCTCATTAGCACGAATTCCATCGTAACGAACAAATGTGGGTCTAGGAAAGGAAACATTGTAATACATACAGATGCATATAATCGGATAACACGAACGAACACCGATTATTTGGGTCCCTTGGAATTTGTGTTAACGAGGGTTTACTGTTGTTTCACACGATTTCACCCGTCAGTGAGCTTTCCGGAGTTGGACAGAAATTATAACAATTGAAGGCGTTTCGGAGATATCCAAGGATACAAAAATATTGAGTTTCAGAAGATCGGTGGTGTTGTCCAACGCACTCATTTCGAACTACCGTGTCTACTGGATATAAAATGGAATCGTCATCATAAAAGAATGTGCTACATTATCTAGGGATTCCGCTTTACCTGCATTACGATGTAATGGTAAAAGTACTACATTGCGCAGATCCCTGAGGTGTATTTGATCACTAACAACGTAGCGCTAGTGTGTTCTGAGCGAGAGAGTGAAAAGTGCCCAAGGGAATTAGATTATTCTATAATTAAAACATCAAAAGGATAAATTGTGAGAGCTATTTTGAGACAAGGCTTCTATAGGAATTCGTCCTTCACAGCACGTGCCATTGAAACTATCTTAATTCCCCAGTTGTTATTCTCCGGAACTATTTTGAGTGCATCTGGACTTTATTTTTGTCATTCGCCTGGCGAATGTGGTCCAGTGCCAGATGAAACTATTTCCAATCTTTGTGTCTGATCTGTATTCGTACTATCTTCTTTACCGTATTTCGCTACATACATCGGAAAAATCGTTGTATCATTTCTACTAACATGATATCAACTTATGGTGGTTTGTTAGTGAATATAAAATTATTTCACCTAACTTTTGCAACTCCGATTAGACGCTCCTTACCTGATTACACATCACCTCTCATAATTTTCCTCAAAGGGACCTCAGCCTCCTCCCCTTCCACCTCCTCCTCCTCCTGCCCTTCCCTACACACGCCAGCAAGAAATGTGCAAGGCTTTGTAACGTAGCAAAATTCAGTAATTTCCAGAATAAATAAAAACGCATGGCATTCACTTCGAATCCGCACTCGCTCCATTTATTTCGTTCAAAACATTTCCGTCACTAGGAGCTCCCGATCACAATTCCAATACGTTTGGCTAATTCTGTCCAGATTGGGCGCTCCCTGCACAAAATTGTGCTTGACTGCACTCCGGCGCGCCTTGCCACGTGCTCCCCCCCTCCGCTCGAGCCCGAGCTCCGGACTTCCTCCACCCAACACACAGGGCTTTAGGAATTCAAATGTCGATTTCCACTCGGCCAACGTTTTGCCCATACGTTGTGGTTGTGCTATACTATGAACAGTCCAATAATTAATTTTATTAATACACCTTCTTGAACATCACATTCATTTTAAACCCAAGTTTAGGTTGAGAAGCAAATCTAATGTATTTTTTTTTCATATAATTTTTCCTGCAATTGTTTGGAGAGTTATAACTGGTTTTCTTTTATGAAATTCAATGTTAATAATCAATCACAGTATTTCGTTTTACATAACTCTTGAACTTTACCAGGCTTAAGTTTGGTCTGTTATTACTTAAATGTTGATTTTGTTAAGCCATAACGAGGTCACGACCGGAATGCAAGTTAAGTCGCGGGCCTGCGAAGTACCAGGCAGGATTTGATCGTGTTTGTTTTCAAGAGTGTAGAGTACTCATGATTATAAACGCTCATTATCCGTGGAGTCTGTGCGTTAGCGCCGACAAATAATGCTAGGCGAAGTTGTAAGGTACGTTAATTCAAGAAATTGTTTTTATGATTGTATATTTTCTGTAATACAAGTTTTGGAAACACAATTTAACTTGACTTTTTAACAACAGAAAAAATTAATCTATTGAAAATTTGCATTATTTTTACTAACATCTCCAAATTGAAAATAATAAGTCCAAAAGTTTTATTTTCTTATTCTAGGTCCTAAAATGTTGAACGATGGAATTGTCCTTTAAATACAATTTTTCCAGCTCAATGTAGCGCCACCGAACTGTTTTAAAAATATTTTCATGATATGAAAATGTCTACTCTGGACGTTCTACGTAAGAAAACTTGAAAAATACAGTTGTCTATGTTTTTATTCCCCATCATGGTACATAAAAAATTCTATTAAGAATTAGAATTCAAAATAAAAAATGTGTGGTCGCTACTCATTTTGTCGGATGTTCTACGGCAACGCCCACTAGAACAAGTTGGCTACGGCCACTTCCCACCCCTGAACACTGTGTTGGAAACACTAAACCGAAAGCCCCCAGAAGACTTGTTCTGAAGAATACATTATAAGGCAATTTATCAAAGCAAATTTGTGCAGTTTCAAGCCCCTACTCTAGAACATATCATTCCATATTTATGTATTTACATTAGAATATTTTTTAGTTGAAATTATCCAAAAGAGAATCATTCCATTAGCACTATCGTCTATCCCATCCATAACAAAATTATCCTTTGAAATTCTAGTTATGTTACGGGGAGGCAACATTGACGATGACATTTGCCATTCTAATAAATACAAGCCCTGCTCCGTGTATTGTAAACAGCGGCGTCCGAGCTACACAATATCTAGAACATGTCATTGTCTGGCAGCCGTGGCGCTGGGACACGGGGTTTGCACGGGCTGCTAGATTGCAGAGCTAAAATCCGCAAAAACACATTTTGGATAAATTTCTTAGAATCTTCTTCATTGATACGAAAACAAGTCATCAGCTCCCTAGTAGGAGAATGAGAAGCATGTAATGACACTTCATTTGTCTCGATTGATGGACGGAAAGAGAGCTAACTGTGAGTGATGGACGAGGACGGACACGGCCGGGCGGAACAGAAGAAACTGTATTTGAAGGAAATTGCAAAAACGTTCTAGCTATTTATTGTTGATTTAGTAATGGGACTACCAATAAAACTCAGATTGGACAAAACACTATTAATTACTTGACCGTAAAACGGTTAAATAATTTAAAACTTAAATATTTTGTTAAACAAAATGATGCAGTGTAGATCAATAAATATAGTAGCAATGCCAGTGCTGTTTTGTAGTATGTATTAGCAAAACGTTATTTAAATAAATGAAAGTAAATAAAAATTATATATGTAGGTGAATCAATTAATGTGTCTGAAAACAGGATAGAGGCAATAAGAATCAACGTGACGTCCTGAAATGTATTTCCCTTTTCTACATATACACCCTATACTTTCAGACACGTATTCCATCTTTAAATGTCCTTGAAATCCACTTGCAAAGAAGACTTTTGGTTGCTGACGCAGCGAACATGTAACATTCGCAGTTACGGCATCAAAAAGTCGGCCACCCAAAAAAGATTTTAGGGGACCGAACAGATGA